CATCTTGTTTCTTCTTTGGGGGATATCTTTTCCTTGAGGGCAAAGAGAAAAGCTGTTTTGTCTTAGTGTCTTATCACAATTTTTCTGCTAGTAGTAAGATGGTGACTGCATGAATCCCATACGTGCCCCTACTGAACCCGTGGAGTCAGTGTCTTCTGGGCTTGCCAGGTGTTTGGATCACATTGGCTCACAAGTAACTCTCTGTTTTGCAGTTGCGTGTGTAACAGTGTATTGAGTGGATGTGATCCTGGTCTTAATTAGGATGCTGCCAACCCAGACTAGCGCTGCAATGATCCTCAAGCTTGGAAGATCTCCTGAAAGGACCTCTGTTTCCGTCCAAGATTCAGCTCAGTTAAGCAGCCGCAAGTAAGTCTCTGGGCAGCACACGCTTCATATGACCCAATAGGTAAAGCAGGTGCCCAGAGCTTATGGGGAAAGATGTGGTAGAAAAGTTGGGTAAATAAAGACCTTCAGTCCCACAGACTGAGCCTGGGTTTTCCCGGCCCATGCAGTGATGCTCGATTGTCAGATCCAACGGCTCAAGTTAGGCCAACTGGGGTCGTTTCAAGCTTTGCTTCACATCCGTTGCTCAGGTTTGTTTGGGCGCAGAGGGAAGCAGATTCTTCACACCTCTAGGAATGCTAATTATCAAGTGTCGCTTCCTAGCCCACACGGTTTGCAAGCCTTGTTGTTGAAACTGCTGTTGGTTCTTTAGTCTGGCTACACTTTTCTTGCCGTGGTTCACGGCTGATTACAGCAAATCCCAGATCTTGAATCAGTGAAAGTTTTAATCCTGTACCAGCCCTGTTTATGTAACAGCTGACATCCCGCAGGGATGAATCTAGGACTTGCAGCACTAAAAGCATTAGCTGCTGCCACTGGAGCTAAAGATGTAACTCCTCTGGTTGGTAGCACCAGTACATTTATATCCACTAGAACAACACGCTGGAGGAGACTCGTGACACAGTTAAAAGGGGGTTGTGCCGACATAAGCATTTTCCATCAGCAGTCCTACCATTGTAATAAGGGAGTACGTGCACTCACATGAGCACAGGTGTGAAAACACTGCTGATGTTTCCACCAGCCCATCACGCAGAGCTGGTCTGAGTGTATACAGCATTATTTACCAGCGTGGTTTTCTGCTAGTGCTCATACCCTCCCTTTTATTCTCGAATCTGCTCCAGTGCTAGAGAAACAGAGGACAGAACAAGTGTAGGCAGGGCCCCAGCTAAGACAACACTCTCTGCTTATCTTTCTGAACACATTTTTCAACCATTTTGGCACAACGGGAGTTCATATTCTTCTTTCCCTCTAGGCACATGATGCAGAGCTTTGAGGCTTCAACATGCCATTAGTTTAAAAAGAAAAGCAGTTCTGGTTGCTTCCGCAGCCCAGGGGCCAAAGATGCACTCATGGTCCTTTGCTCAGAATAAGTTCAGGGTAACACCCTAAAACACAATAAAAGTGAGTCATTTTAAAGCTTTAACACTGTTTCATTCTCTCCATCATTCACAGTTTGTCCTTTCTGTTTATGCTGTTTAACTACATTGCTCAGTAACTGCACATTTATCTACCTCTGCACTCCAATGCGCCTGATGCAGACAAAGGTCTGTTTGATTACTGCTCTAACACTTACCCTAAATTGCCTCCTGGCTTCTATCTCAAAATCAACCCTTTGCTGGGACATAGCACGCAGAAAGATAAAACGCACCTTTCAGCTTTTCTCCCAGATACAATCCCAGCCAAATCAGTCTGAAATTGCAGTTTTGAGTTTTGGGGAATAGGCTGCAGGAAAGCAGAAAAAGCCACATACACTCTTGGCTGCCTTGCCGTGGGAAGGGCTCTACTTGTCTCTGTCTGGTTCGTGTTTTTCAGTTCTGCTGTCCCAGAACACTAGAGCATCATCAACAGAGCCAATTCTTAGCTTTGCCAGAAATGGAGCAGGAACTCGGGAGGACGCGTAACCGCATGCGCCAGAGAGCTCTGAAGGGATTCTCAGGTACCTCAAGGGTGTCCTTGAATTACCGCCTGCCTGGTGATGCAACGCATGTTACTTGCGCTGCTGGAAGTAGTGGACTTAGAAGGAATATCCTGGGTCCACTTTTACTCCCCATCTCCCATCTTTCCCTGAACTTATTTCCGCTTTCACGTTGAATCGGCTCTCACGATCGCTACTGACAGCAGAGCAATGACTGCGGTGTGAACAGGCACTTGTTATATAAACTACTTAAATGAGACATCAGCCAAATTGGGCTGGTGGAAGTAAGATGTCAAATGAGGACAGGGTATTTGAACATAGTAGGGAAGGAGCCGCAGCTCAGGATTTGTTAAGGATATTCACAGCCCTGTGTACAGCCCTGCACGGCTGTGCCCCGTCTCCTCCTTTGCTGAGCTCCTCGAGGCCGGGGCTGGGCGCTACCGCCTCATGCTCCTCTTGGGGTGGCCCTGCAGCACCAGGGGGCTGTTGTTGTCCCTCTGCCCCTGCCACAGAGGGGACATGCAGCCAGAAGGGACACAAGAGGGGACACGCAGCCACACAGCAGGGACACACAACCATAGTTTCCCCCCCCTGCGGTGCTCCTGCGGGCAGG